ATCAAGTTTGAGTTTTATTTTTGATCACGACGAATAACTGTTATTTGTCAACTTTTATTATAAAACTCAAAAAATAACAGTTATTCTTTGAGTTTTACTTTACGAATCCGAAAATAATTGTTAAAATGTGATTTTTAACATAAAACTCATAACAGTTACCGTCCCTGCTAAAAATAACAAAACAAATCAGAGCTTGCAAGGCTCGGTCAACATTTTCAAAGTGTTGGAAAAAAACCTGTCACTAACAACCCTATGACAACTGGGTGTGAGCTAACCCCTTAAAAGGGGTTTTGCTTAACAGATGTTAAGCAATTAGAAATCTAAAAGAAATTTCGACTTCCCCCATAATTTGGGGGCTACATTTAAAACTAACTTTGCGATTAAAAAATCTAAACCGCTGCTCCGATAGAGATGATTTTTCGGTCAATGGTTACTCTATGGCCCAAATGCTTAAGTTTAATTTTTCAAGTTTATAACACTTTTTTTTAAGTATTTTTAACGAATTTATTTAGATTTTCTAAGTTATTGCGTTGCATTTTGTGGGAGCCTACCGAGAGAGCGAAACCCAGAGAGCGGATGGCAAGAGAGCGACGGCCGAGAGAGCAACAGCCAAAAAAAAAATGTCGTGGGGGAGGGGTAGTGCTAAAACCAAATTTCCTAACTCCAAACTAATTTTAAGCGAACGAAGTCGCTCCGGTTATAGCTATTTATTATATAGCCCTGCCAGTAGCCTTCTGATTCTCTCTCTTGAAGGATCTTCCAAATTCTTGGTCAACTTCGTCCGATTTTAATGGCAAACTTTCGTCAAGTTGAGATTGTGTATGTACTACATACACATCGCCTATATTGAATGTTTTTTCGCCAATGCTCCTTCTATTTAATTGAAATGTGCTGTTTTGCACATCTTCGTTAAGTTTTTCTGGATTCTTTTTTGATGTCGTAGAATTATTCTTTTGCGCAGTATTTTTCTTCTCTTTATTTGTTCTCATCATAATTTCACAACTTCTTAAACAATTTCACAAAGAGTTAATTGTTGCACATAGTTCATTTAACTGGCTGCTCGGATCGGTTGAGCCCCCATGTAAGATTTATTATAATATTATAGGTTTATTTAATATGAATACGATTAAGTATATAGCCGAACAGGTAAATTATGTTAATACAGATTTCAAATGACCGACAGAAATTCGCGACTACTTTTGACAACTTTCAACTTTATTACGACTTCTGCGACTGGCTTCTTCGACTTGCTTCTGTGACTACTTCTCGACTTCATTCTCTTATCCTCTTCGGCGCTGCAAACTTCTCTTCTGACCAAATTAGCATTTTAGCAAAGGGTGGGAATGATGGGTGGTGTGTGTCAAGGATGGGTGTGCCAACTTGTGAGGTGATTGTACCCATGCCATCTTACATGCATATTGTATAACTATATATTTTTGTAATTTTTTTTACCCACAAAATCGCTATAAATTAAGTTTGAGTTTTATTTTTGATCACAACGAATAACTGTTATTTGTCTACTTTTATAATAAAACTCAAAAAATAACAGTTATTCTTTGAGTTTTACTTTACAAATCCGAAAATAACTGTTAAAATGTGATTTTTAACATAAAACTCATAACAGTTACCGTCCCTGGTTTGTTTGATCGAAAAAAAGCAAGTATAGTAGCTCATAGATCATGTTTAGTAGATCAAGTATCCGAACATACCTAAAAAATGTTATCTGGGAACAGGGCTGAAAAATGTTATGTAAGAACATAACCAAAAAATGTTATGAAGGAACAGAGCTGAAAAATTAAATTCTTGTTCTGTATGTACACATCAATACCATTATTTATATTCTCTCGCATATTCGTTACATTGAGCCATACTATACTTTCGCTTTTCCGCGAATTCTTAAGGTAATGAAAATGCAACATATGTATTGTTGAAGACTGGTCGTGGGAAAAGTATAAAAAAGTTATCCTCGATGGACCGCGATATCTTGAGAATGGGAAGGCATTGTTGGGTTCGATAGTTCTTGTAACCGAAATTACAAGATTCTTCAGATCCATTGAGGATCATATTTTCGCGATTTATGACCACCATGACTATCTATAAAATAATATTACACTACCTAAAAAATTTAACATTAAAGGATAAACGATATATTTGTTCTTTTATTATAAATTAATTATTAACCGGAAATATTTGACACTAGACCTGTGAGCTGTTCGAGCTGTTCGAGTTGTCCGAGTAATATGAGCTGTTTAACTTGTTTGTTTTGTTGTTGTGAGCTGTTTGAACTGATCTGTTTTAAAGGTATCCGTTAGGAACCTGAGCTTGTTTGGAGCTGTTACTTGCTTACTCGATAATCCCATGAGCTATGACTCGAAAGTCACAGACAAACAAACAAGCTCTAGCTCAGAGCTGTTTACAAGTCTACTCGTGCAGGGCTCTAATATGAACCCCATAATGAGGACTCCAAACTGGAGCGCAGTACTCAACAATTGGTCTGACTAATGAAATAATCAAGGTCTTTGTGACATAGGGATCATCGAATTCCTTCGACCATCTTTTGATAAATGCAAGCACGCCTGGCATATTTTAAAGGTAAACAAGAAAGAAAACTAGCTTCGGCCAGCCGAAGCTTATATACTAGGGTGGGTCGATTTAGGACCCCAAAAATCGTATAGGGAAACGTAATCTTTAAGGAGGGGGTATGGTATTTAATTTAATTTAATTTTTTTTTTTATTAATGTACAACAAGTTAAGAATGTTGTGTTAAAATTTCATGTCAATCGGATGAAAATTACAAAAAATATGACCTGCCGTCCCTATACCTATCCAAAACTTTAAATAGTTCTCCTGAAAAGTATGTTTTTTTAAGTCGGTGAACAGTGTCCATCGAAATCTAATGTACCGATCATTCTGAAATTTTGCCTACCTAAATCCGCAGGTAATCAGGTCGAGTTTTTTTTATTTTTTATTTTATAATAACTAATATATCCAATTTTTTAGGCTGAAATCACGTTTTTGACTTCAAAGTGTTACCAAAAATCCAAAAATTAAAAAAAAAAAATCGACCTGATTACCTTAAGAAACATCTTAACTAATGGGCATTTTTTTTTATATATTTTTCTGATTATCCAGTAATGAGTTATGCTGTTCACCGCAAAACCTCTTTTCTTGAAGGCGCCAACGGAGATTGAATGGCGGCTCATTTTTTAATTTTTTTCAATGAAAATTTCAGAAAATATAGTTTAAGTATTGTACTTTGATATAATAATAAACATTAACCGTATCGTGTGAAAAAATTCATGAAAATAGGCCTTTTTTGGCCGAAATCCGAAGTCAAAAAATCCACCATAAATCCAATATTCCATGGATTTTGCCAATATTCGGCTTATTTTATTCGGTTGGATGTAATCATTAAGTTTCTAGTAGAAACTTTCTACCCATTATGAATTTCCAACGGATTTATTTCGATATTTTACGATATATACAACCGACTTACAGTCGACCAAAAAACACATTTTTCATCTTTGACGAGCTGCTGCGCTGCCATTACTTATCCAATCATATTGATCTGTATGGCAAAGTTAAGCTCTGATCCATTGACTTTAAAATAAAATGAAAACTGGCCCAATTTGGTGAATATGAGCCGGGATATAGGAAGAAATTCGAAAGAAAAATCCGAAATTTAACACTTTAAACTTTAAAAAATCTTTTAAAAAATAATGTGCCATCGAAAAAAAAATTAGTGTTATTTTTGTGATCTAGGGCTCCAACACTAACAGAATTTGTCATCAATTGCTGTGGAGCATTTTGCCTGTAAACTAGTGTAATCCCTCGAAAAGCGGACTCAAAGTTAAATACACTAGTCGGCATAATTATTTTGAAATTTTAAAATAAAATGAAAACTGGCCCAATTTGGTGAATATGAGCCGGGATATAGGAAGAAATTCGAAAGAAAAATCCGAAATTTAACACTTTAAACTTTAAAAAATCTGTAAAAAAAAATGTGCCATCGAAAAAAAAATTAGTGTTAATTTTGTGATCTAGGGCTCCAACACTAACAGAATATGTCATCAATTGCTGTGGAGCATTTTGCCTGTAAACTAGTGTAATCTCCCTCGAAAAGCGGACTTAAAGTTAAATACACTAGTCGGCATAATTATTTTGACAGATTTGAATGTTAACTGTAGTCACATTTTGAACTCTTAACGCTAAAATGACACAAAAATGTTCTTAACCCATTAAGACCCCTTTGAAAAGTGAGCAAATTTTGTGAAAGTCTAATTTTTAACTTTTTTTCTGAGGCTTAAAACAAAAATGTTTTCATGCAAAGTTTTTCCCCAATCAAAATTAATAATAACTGCAAAAAAAATTTCAAAATATTTTTCCTTGTATTTTTTATGATTTTTTTAATGGTAACGATTAATGATTTAACGATCTCAGTAAAATTTTGTATAAAAAAGTGGAAAAAGCGGCTAAAATTGTCAATTTTAGCTATTTTCAAAAACTCGTAAAAAATACATGGAAAAATATGATGAAATTTTTTTTTTGCAGTTATTATTAATTTTGATTGGGGAAAAACTTTGCATCAAAACATTTTTGTTTTAAACCCCAGGTAAAGTTTAAAATTTGACCCTCACAATAAATTTTCTAATTTTCTAACTTTTCAAAGAGTGCTTAATGGGTTAAGATCATTGTTGTCATTTAAACGGAATTGAAGTGCTCTTTCTATAGGTGTTTGTTTCTATTATAAGTTCAAAATATGAGAAGATTTAACTGAAAAATTTGTAAAAAGAATTATGCCGACTAGTGTATGATAAGTGTGCCAACAGTTCGGAATTGTATGTACGTATCTCTGTATGTTGGATATTTCTACAGTCAGTAGGGTCTACCAAAATATTTCTACATTCGAAAGACTAATTCTATAATTCAGTAATAAGAATGCAATTAAACTGGAATTCTATACAAGACAATAGGTGGCTTATTAATTATTTATCTCTTACCGGGATTTCTAAGAACTGACGATACATTTCGGAATATATGTTGTCGTTCCTCAACAGGCACATTGAGAACTTTGCCTGGCAAATCTCGCAACGCTCCAGATAACTAGATAATTAAAATCAATTGCTAGTAACACAAAATTACATGAAATATAAACGAACCTGTTCGTCCACCATATTTAATAAAAACGTGTACGATGAAAACTAATAAAAACTTCTTCCTTGTGTGACCGCAGAATATCTGAAGAAAAATTCCCAGCACAGTAGCAACAAATGTACGAAAAAAAATTCATTTGCGCCAAAAGTAAAACAGCGTTAAGTTCGATTTCCACTGCTTGGGATTTATGGTATTTTTATACCCCTTACTCGTAGAGTAAAAGGGTATATTGTATTCGTGCAAAAGTATGTAACAGGGAGAAGGAAGCGTTTCCGACCCTATAAACTATATATATTCTTCATAGGATCACTAGCCGAGTCGATCTAGCCATGTCCGACTGTCCGTCCGTATGAACGCTGAGATCACGGAAACTACAAAAGCTAGAAGGTTGATATTTCCCACACATATTCTTGGGCTTCTTACGCAGCGCAAGTTTATTTTAGCCAAGCGGCACGCCCCCTCTAACACCCACAGTCGCCCACTAACGATTTTAAAATGTAAGATTTCCGAGAAGTATAAATGCAAATTTGTTGTGTATATTTATACCTATCAAAGTGCTGCAGAAATTTTTCAAATCGGATCATTATTTAAAAAGTTATGCGCAATCAAAAAAAGGTTATATATCCATCTCCCTCGCACTCCCTTTAGCCGAGTGACGGGTATTAGATAGTCGGTACACGAACCCGACAATAGCGTTCTCTCTTGTTTTTTTAGCCTCTGCACACATCCGCTTAAAGTCACTGTTGCAAGTTAAAGCGGATTTGTGTTCACGTAGAGAATCGTTTGAGCGCCGCTGATCGGCATAAACAGCCCCGAAACCGAAGAGAGGGGACATGCAAATTTAAAGTAAGATGAACTATATCCTTACTTTATAGTGTGTTCACACAGAGAGGGATTTTGCTTTAGCGTCCATTTTCCACTTCAGCGACTTATTCTCCATAAAGGCATTTTTCCACTATGCGGTTTTTTCGGTATTTTGGTGTATTTTCGATTGGCAACGCGATAAGCGGACGTGAGGTGTTTCCATTGGCAAACGCGTCTGAAAACAGCTGTTCTGCTATTGTCATTTGCGAGCTGAAGTAAGCAATGGATTTAAATAATTTGTTATTGTTAATTGTAATCGCAGAACAGCATTTGAACAGCGTGGAAACAGTGCTGCGATGCTGAAAGCAATAACACCATCCCACGTTTTGCTGCTTGAGCATTTATTACGGCAGAAAGCAAAAGGATCTGCTGCAGAAGGAGTTCATATATATAGATCTAAACAGTCATTTAAAAAATTTTTTGACACGACCCGCGACAGCAGTAGCTTCTGCTGCGGCACGTCACTGAACAGAATCTGAGACGGGCAGAAACGCCTACAAGGACATTGTGCGCAAGAAAGACGTGTGTCATTTGAATATGGAATGGCCATCTACGGTCAAAGCAGATTTTGCACCTGAACTTAAATGCGACCAGGAGGTCGCCTTAATGAACGAATGGCGCACGAGAAGCAAACATCAAGATCATGGAGACGGGGAAGCCCATGTGGCCGCGCTGCAACGACCAATATTTCGCTTCCGATTCTTTCTAGCCGAGCCATTCCATTGGATAAACGAACTGCTACTGCCCTTTATGCGCTTGGATCATCCTCGGAATACTGAACTATTGCCAGATATCAAATAAATAAATAGGAAATAAAGTTCATGTAAATATCAACAATAAATGATTTTAATATTTCCCGCTTCTTATATCCTCTTGTCAGTTTCGGGTACAGAAAAATGTTCATGCCTGGTTAATACTACTTAAAAATACCACAAATTTCACTTTCCAGCCCTGTAACGCGACAATTATTATTTGCATTTGTAGAAATATTTGCTTAAAAGAAGGATATAGTCAAAGAATCGTATGGGAGTAAGGTGTTGCAAAGGACCAAAACGTTTTTAATATGTGAATAATCTCGTGGCGTCACTGTTTGTCCACAACTAGTTTTCACAACGCTTGCCTGGGTGGATTTCTCATTTTTGAACAATTTGCTAAGAACAATAAGGACTAGTATTCAGCCCAACAAAAAGTCGTTCAAAAAGCCTAGTACTCAGTACTCAGATAAGCTAAGGAAATGGTAAGGAAATACCAAAAAAATACCTGATTTAGCGGGTGAATTACGATGAACGCCTTTAGCCGCGGCCCAAAGAATAAATAATTTAATCTTTTGTTGGCTTTAGCTACCTATTTGCCTCTCGTTTACTCCTATGCTTAGCTAGCAGTTTTCGTCGTACTGAGTACTAGGCTGAACGCTTTAACCGCGGCGCAAAGAATTAAGCCTAGTACTCAGTTGGACTAAGAGTTTCACTAATCGAAAAATATTATTATTTTGTAGTGTGACCTAGAGGTAGAGAAATATCTATGTTTGCGAACATCGATGTTTAGAAAAAAAATTTATTTTTGGTAAACACAGTTTTATTTTATTTAAATGTTGGTTTTTGTGTAAAAACAACAGTTTGTCAACGAGGGAAGATGAAAGTCGAGTGCGACGGTCAGATATAAGTTGTCCAACTTTGCTAAAAACGCGTTTGACGTTCCTAAAAAATAATATTTTCATACAAACACAATGTAAAGGTACAAATGTACATACATATGCACACACTTTTTAGGGCGGTCTCCATTTTTATGGAAGTTTTTAAGGTTCTACTCTCACCCGCCTATACGGTGCGCATTGAAGTTTTTAAGGTAGACCAAAAGAATTTTTGAAGTGAAACTTCTTTAGGCGCGTTATGCATTTTCGGGGACGGAGTAAAACCAATTCATGACCGTCACGAAAATCTTCTTCTTACCTATCACCGCTTACGAACGATCTCTTTGTACTCTTCTTTCCTCTTATTATAATTATTAATATTTTACGTGTATGTATGTATTTGCACTATGTGCGAGCTCAGAGTGAAGAGATATAAATATAAATAAATAATATATTTAAAGAGCATTTTTTGTACACGCAATAAGGCTATGGAACCAGCTTCCAAACCCTTTAAAAAATATTAGTAGCGCCACGCAGTTTAAGTCAAAACTAACATTACACCTACAAGATACTAGCACAATATAAAAGAAATCCAAAAATTTCGACTGAAATCAATGTTTTGATACATAAAAAAAACAAAGCCTGGAAGTCTCTCCTTTACTGACTAAAATTAAAATACCATTTAACGGGATGCAGAGGATGCATTCTATGTGAAAAGAACGCCCAAAATCGGTATAGAAAACCCGTGGCGTCCAAGTAAGTTTTATTTTTGATCAAATAAAATAAAAATCCAAAATAATTATAATCATTATTTTTTAGTTTTATTTTTTCCGATCAGAAATAAAGATTAAAATGGATAGATTAACTAAAGAGGATTACTATGGTGTTTTCCTTTTATTGCGTACGTCGATCCTAAGTGCTTTATTTTTTGGTTCAAAAAATGGATCAATAATCATTCCTTACGGTCAATGGTAATTTTTAATTGTAATATTGTTATTTATGTAATATTGTATACTTGTAAATAAATATAAAATAAAAAAAATCCATGCTTCGTTCTTGAATTATTAAACCTATGTTATGTGCGAAAACCATAATTAAATACAAAACTCGCAAATTCCACCAAGTTGTTTACACTAGGTCAGATGACGATAAGCGTTTATTCGATAACCGGTCATCGACTACTCGTGAGTCCAGGGAGTCGGGTCACTGAGTCTAAAATGAAACTGGTTCCCTAGACCGGATGACTCCCAAATGAACCGAAGTTTTAATTCGAAAAAGTGGTTGAGTGGTTTTTGGCGAAGAGAGACTTGGAAAACAGCAAAGGTGAATTAAAGGGCGAAAATCAGTAGGCGCAGGGGGTACTATTGGCCGAGATTTTTCAAATTTAAAAAATTCTAGTTTCTACCAGTGAGTTAAAAAATTAAATATACAGTGGCGGACAAAAGTCTACGGACGACCCCCTTTTTGGGAGTTCACCCACTCCTATTGCTTTTACGGGAAAAGTAATAATGCAGTTTTGTTCTTAATGTTATTAATATACAGAAACCAAAATTTTATTCTTATTCATAAAAAACTTTAAAAGTTACGGACGAAAAACTTAAAAATGGCATAGACAAAAGTCTACGGACGATTTTTTACATAGAACTTTCAAAATTTTCGATCCAAAATTACCTAAGCCTGCCTAATAATTTGTATGCCCAGGCCTTATGGTGGTAAAAACAATTGCCGAAAAGCATAAAACAGCAGCCAATTCTTCAGGATATGCGCCGTATGCTTGGGATCATTATCCTGTTGGTGGATCGAGATGGTTCCGAGGCATTATTTGTCCACAGATGCCTTCAAATTATGTTCAAATATAGTCTTATACTGAGAACGAACCATAATACCCTCGACGATGACCAAATTTCCTACTCCCGAGGCTTCAACTGTTCCCCACACCATGTCACTCCCACCGAAGTGCTTTACGGTCCAAATTAGTACTGTGGTGGAAGTATGGTTGGAAAGTCTTGGTGTGGGGATCAGTTGAAGCCTCGGGAGTAGGAAATTTGGTCATCGTCGAGGGTATTATGGTTCGTTCTCAGTATAAGACCATATTTGAACATAATTTGAAGGCATCTGTGGACAAATAATGCCTCGGAACCATCACGATCTACCAACAGGATAATGATCCTAAGCATACGGCGCATATCCTTAAGAAATATCTGCTGTTTTATGCTTTTCGGCAATTGTTTTCACCGCCATAAGGCCTGGGCATACAAATTATAGAGCAGGTTTGGGTAATTTTGGAGCGAAAATTTTGAAAGTTCTATGTAAAAAATCGTCCGTAGACTTTTTTTTGTATATTATTAACATTAAGAACAAAACTGCATCATTACTTTTCCCGTAAAAGCAATAGGAGTGAGTGAACTCCCAAAAAGGGGGTCGTCCGTAGACTTTTGTCCGCCACTGTAAGTTTGGTGTGAGTGAAGTTACAAATTTAATGAATTCCAGAGTATTCCGGAGAGAATAATCCTGGATCAGGAACGTGCAATTTTGTGAAGGAAGAAGACAAATTTTCTCGGTGGGGTAATACCCTTAGGGCTCTCTAGGACTCTATCCTAGTGGAATTTCGCAGTCTTTCTGCGTTGCGCAGTTTTTTG